AAAAAGGGTCTTTGGAAAAGGAATATCTTTTGCGAATGGAGAAGTAAGATATTTTATCTCATTTTTTGAGAAAACAATAAATTATGCTTTTTTTTTTTAAATTAATTTTTTAAAAATAAAGGATCGAATACGGCAACGAAAAATGGCAACGCCAGCATTTAACAAATCTCTTAGCCCTGAGATGATTGGAGAATGTACTAATGAACTTATAACTCTGTTAAATAAATGGGAAGATATTCCATTAGATATATGTACTGTTCAAACATTGGGAAAATTGGCTTTCTCATATGATATGAAAGTGTGTACTCCTTTTATATATCATTTTTAAATATATACTTCATAATATCACCATTTCAACTGTCACATAACTTATAAATCACTTCTTGCTTCTTTTTAATAAGGCATTGGACAGTCTGGAGGAGGAACCATATTTCATAAAAACTTATGAAAAAATTACAGAACTTATTCAAAATCCTCTTTACATGATATTCAGATTTACTTATAAACTTCCATTAAAAGTAAATCTTGAACTCTCTCAATTAATTGAAGAGTTTGACCGACTTATATATAAAGTCATTGAACAACGAAAACTTGATATAGCTAAAGAAAAAAAAAGTGAAGAGCATAAAGATTTATTGGCTAATATGTTAGAAAATATTGGCAATGAAAATTTTGAATATAATATGAAAGACCTTAGAGATGAGTTAACTGCAATTTTTTCTGCTGGGCATAATAGTAAGTGTCAACAAATCATCTTATTCTATCATATACCGTATAAATATTTTTTTGTTAAATTTTTTGTTTATTTTGTAGCCACAGCATTCGCGTTGAGTGCCGTTTTCTATAACTTGGCAAAATATCCTGTAAATTTTATAATTATTTTTTTTTGCAATTTTTGAATTTGATAATTTATATAAACATTTATTTATTTATTTTTTAAAAAAAAAACTTTAGGAAATTCAAAAAAAAGCAAGAAAAGAAGCATTTCAAGTCTTAGGAGATTCCTCTAAAATACCAAATTCAGAAAATGTTAAGGTATTACTTTAGACTTTTATGCATTTTATATAAAATTTTTTTTAATATATTAAAATCATTGATCTTGTCAAATTATATATATATAAATAAATAGGATCTAAAATATATCAAAGCAATAGTTAAAGAATCACTTCGTCTTTATCCAGCAGTAGTAATGTTACCATTCCGTAAAGTTTTAAAACCCTTAAAATTTAATCAAAACGTTGTAATACCAAAAGGAACAAGTCTTTCGTTGAATATCTGGCAAGTTCATAAAAATTCAGATCTTTGGAGAGATGAGTTTATGCCTGAAAGATTTATGAATCAAGACGATAAAGAAAATTGGATTCCTTTCTCTAGTGGGCATAGAAATTGGTATGTCCTTTTATTATTAAATTTCGAAAGATATACATTCTATATTCTAATTAAATTCATCCTTTTATAGCATTGGACAAAATTTTTCAATAATGGAACAAACAGTTATTACTGCAATGATACGTAAGTTGATTATTTATTCCGTTATGGATTTCTTAAACGTAAATTTTATTGTATATTTACATATTTTATTTATAGTACTTAATTTTGAGCTATCTTTGCCCCCGGATGGTCAAAAGTTTGATAAAATGCCATTAAGAAGTTCTTTTTATACTCTAAATCCTAAAGATATAAAAGTTATATTTTCTAAATTAAAGATGATTGTTGAAGTTTAAATATATTTGTTTTTAAAGATACCTGTCACTCCTGTCTAATTACATTACAGCATTAGTTAAATAAGTACGTACGTACATGCCACAAATGGTAAACCATTATTTTATTAAGATTCATTATTTTTTACTAAGACTCATTGTACTATATATATATATACTAGCTCTTTAACCCTCGTGATACTTCGGGAAAAATGAATTTATTAAAAATTATAGTAGCAATTTCCAGATATAT